CACTCGAAAAATGATGGGTCATGGACAGTATTTCATAGATAACTATGAATTAGTCTATGGAAAAATAATATGTAAATAGGTAATTTTGTTCAGCTTTCGATGCTCTATCCTTTGGTATATTACATGAAAAATTTCGTTAATTTGATGTCATCGAAAAAATCTCCACTTTATACGAATGATTTTTGATGATACTTTTGAAATATCATCGTGAGCGTTCGACAGTAAAATTGAGCTAACTTTTCACCAGCTTAACCAAATGCGCTAAAAATTTGGATTTAGAGGTTTTCGATGATGCTGAACAAAATGAGAATATCAAATAAAAAAAAAATTTTTGACGAGTGCTTCGATATCTGGCATGATGCTCGATCATCTCATGGGTGCTCTCTTAAATAATCAATAGCAGTTTTAAACTTGTTAGTTCTTGAAATTTCAAACGTAATATCATTATCATGTGAAAAGATCTTCAAATCATTAGCAAGTTCGTTGATTTTCTTTTCATCGTATTTTAATTCAACAAGATGAAGAGCGACTTCTTGAATATTATTATAACATTGAGTTAAATCACAGTTTTTACTTTGGAGCATTTCTGTATAAGGCTTTAAGATTGCAAATACACGTGAGACAACAAATAAACATACAACGAAATCTAAATCCTTTATTGATTTTAAATAAGCATGAGATTTTGCGCTTGTATCTGAATCGGCGTTTTCCACCATGTATTCTAAAAACACGGCCACTCTAGAAAATAATTGCTTAAAACTAATATTGAAGTTTGTTTTTCAACCCAACGATGTTCAATTAATTTGGCCAATTTTTTTCGTTTCATGTCACTGTGTGTAGCTTCTATCGCATTTTTTAAAAGTTTTTGTTTTTTTGGTGATTTACTAATAAATTTTATAATAGCTTTAAGTGTACCAAAAAATAATTGTATATATCGATCATCACATGCATCACATATGGCCAGATCTAATGAGTGACTAGCGCAATGGACATAGAGTGCTTTTGGTGCAATGTCTAAAATAAGTTTTTGAACACCACTAATGTCGCCGGACATGACAGTACAACCGTTATATTCTTGACCTAAACATATGTTTTACATCCTTCAATATCAAAAACTTAAAAATAAATTAAATACTTACCTCGTAAATATGCTAAATCAAGACCAACTGATTGTAAAAAAGAAATTATATGTTCAGATAGACCTTTTGCTGAATTATCAGTGATTGAAATGAAGCCAATAAAATCTTCTTTGATAGCTATTTGATCACCAGCATGACATAAATAACGAACTGATAATGACATTTGTTCGGTTCCAGTGATCTCTGAAGTGGCATCGACTATAACGGAAAAAAAAGTTTTTTCTTCAATGATACGGTTAACAATTTGTGCTCTAATCATATCAGCACAAATGCCAATTAGCTCGTTTTGAATTTTGGGACTCATATACATTGCATTTTTGGCGCACGTTGTCAAATGATCATTTAATACCATATTGCCACTTTCCACACGGAAAAGAATTAATTCTTTAAAATTTCCTAAAATGATAGTAAAAGACAAATGCATTTCTTTCGACTGCAAAAAATGTTACCTAAACCCTCCGTTGATTTATAATCAATGCCATCGTCATCATGACCTCTGAATGCTAAATTTTGTTTGCCAATAAAAAGAATACACTTAATAATACTCGCTAAAATTTTTCTGTTCATAGCTTCTTGTTGTTGATATTCATTATCTAATATACGATCAATAGATTTGCTTGGATCTGTATAACTTATAATAAACAGTTTAGCTTGTTCTTTGGAAAACAAATGATAATCAGTTTTTTCATGAGATCGAAAATAATCATGAGCTTTATTTAATGAAGTTAATGGTTTAACAACGAGCTGTCCAAGAGCGTTTTTACCTGGATCCTTTGCAGACCATTTTCTTTGAAACAAAATGCAATAGCGGCATAAAACACCTTCAAGGGTATGAAAATAACCAAGCCACGGATATGATAATAACCAAGAATGTTGACAAACCGACCGCACCTTTTGATTCATGTTAACTTGAGGAAATTCGTATTGAGTAGATGGTTTCCATGGATCGATCAATACAGCATAGATTTCATTAGTTGATATGCAACTTTTATTAACAAACAAGCCGATATCATTATTACCTAATGCTTGAGCATTGTTATTACTTAAAGTTTCATTTTCATGTTGCTTTGACTTTTTTCTCATTGAAATGTCATTAATGTTTGATGTTGTTACAGTGTGCATTTCATCGAGAGTTAAAACAGGTGTTGTCATGGCCTGAGATTCATCAAAAGTAATACTCGGTGTTGCCACGGCTTCTGTTTCATCAGGAGTTATAATCGGTATTGATGATGATTCAGGTTGTTCTACTTGCGTAACCACAGGTGAATTTGGTCTTTTTCTTTTATTGGAAGAAAAAAAATGTGATAAATTTAGTTATTTACTCATCTAAAATGTGCGTTAAATGAAGCTGTACGTGTCACATTTGCACTGTAATATTTAATTGAAAACACGATTTTTTAATAAAGAGTATGTCACCATAATGATATGGCATGATCATCATTTTCCATTCAATATAGTGACTCTTTAATAATCGGACGGCAGAATGAAAAAAAAGATACATCTTTATGGAAGAGACGATATGTTCTTTGTGTTGAGTATGGGAGACGAGCACATAGGTCATCGCTTTGAAATATTTCTTTTCCATGTCATTATAAAGAGAAAGAGCACATTGCGCTTAACAGACAAGCATTCCTTTTAGAAGAAAAATTTTAATAATGAAGTATACTCAAAAATGATATTAGTTAATCACTTTGAACGTTGGCCAGTACATTTAGCGGCGAAAAAGGTAGTGTGGCTTAGTTTTCATTATCGAAAAAGGATTTCCGAATTATGCTTCCAACTCTGAGGGGGGTGCCCGGGCCCCCCTGGGTACGCCCCTGCTTCAAACGAATTTCTAGCAATTCATCAGTCTCTAGAACATCGCGGCACAATGTATAGAGGATGAATGCATAAGCTATTGACTACAGAAATGTCATGCTTGACACGGTATTAACTAGATGGCGTTTCTATGATTTGTTGTAAAACGATTTTCTTTGAAAGATGCTCATGTTTTTACTGGAGTCAGTTGTACGAGATAAATTCGCTATGGATGTTGCTTTTAATTACGCCATATATATCTTGCCTTCATGAAGTCTAAAAAATAGTAAATCTTTCAAATATGAATTAAACATGTAAAATATATTTCAAGAAAAAAAAAAATTCTAACGTTGTTGTGTGGAATTATTACCTCATCTATTCAAAGTTCTTTTGGTTGGGTGGTTAATTATGACCAATGAGACGTTGTTATATATTAACCATCTATCTCTATCTGTCTGTCTATTTCATTTTATGCAAGCTATTGAATATAAAATGAGTAAAGCACATGAAGTAACAGCTTGGATTGATTTAAATATAATTGATAAGCCATGGGGACAATCATTAACAAAAGAATTCGATGATAAAAAAGCAAAATATCTTATTGAAAGTATGCCCGTACCAAATACAATAACTTGGTTAGTTTATCTAAAATTAATATTTATCTATATTAAAAATAAAATTTCAATATATATTCATTTAGGTCAATATCAAATATTGCTAATAATATAAATGAAGAATTCGTTAGTCAATTATTATTATTAATGACATATGAACAATTTTTTCAATTTGTTTCTGTATGTAATAGAAATAAAAATAATATATCAGATTTATTTCAAACAATAAATGATAAATATAAATCAAAAAAATCTATAACTATTGTTATTATTGGTGCTAGTTCATCATTAAATCTAAATAAATTATTAACACGTTCATCATTAATAAAATCTAATGATTTAGATAATATTTATGTTGAATTACAACTTCAACATAATTCAATTATAAAATATGCTGAAAAAGAACATGATCTTGCTATATTAATATTATCATTTACAAAAGCTATAACAGTTGCACCTGAAAAACGTTTAAAAAATCTTTCACCATTTTCATTTCATGTTGATACAATGAAACAATATAAAGCAATACGTATTGATATTGATCAAACAAATAAAACACTTGAACTATTATGGAAACAAATTTTACAACAATTTTCACATATGGGTATTGAACAAGCACAAGCTATTGTTAATCAATATGGTACTATACAAGCATTAGTACAAGCTTATAATAAATGTCAAACGGAAAATGAAGCTAAATTATTATTAGCTGATATACAAGTTCGACGTGGTGCTGGAATTTTAACAACAACACGTAAAATTGGTCCACAAATGTCAGAAAAAATTTGGAAATTATTTACATCAACTAATGGAACTGATCTTTTGTAAAGACCAAAAACAAAACAAAAACAATGAAAACTATTAGATATTATTTTATTTTCATGTGTTTGTTCATTGTATAAAATATAATTATTTTTATTTTTTTGTTTTCTTGTTCTAGATAGAATTATACAATTGAAATAGTTCAATATTACATCTATTAAACTATTAGATTCTATCTATCATCTTTATTGAAAAATCAAAAATTAATTTATTTACATGATATTTTATTTTTATGTATCAACTAGCTGATTACAGATTTATGAAAGTCTTTAGAATTTACCGATATCAATTCAACGTAAATTAAAATCATGAAAGAGGTCGAATATCGACTAGAAAGTAGAGTCTAGATGCTTAAATTTTTGGTAATGCCACTAATTTGTACATGTCTATCTTGTTTTTTTCGAGTTCTGAATCCTGTTTGTCCATACCGAACATTTTCAGAACTATGTCGCAGAACTTTAGTCTTGACAACAAAGTAAATAATTTATTAGCATTTTAATTAGTCTAGTTTTCTCATTCATTTTATCATCGAGTCATCTTTTAAAAGTATATCTAAATACGTAGAAGATTTCGCATTAAAGATGACTAAAACTCTATTCCATGTCATCTATAACAATAGTAATAAGAAGCGAATTGTCATTCATCTCTTGACATGTCTGAGAATCAACGGAATTTCTTAAGAAGTATTATCTAATACAAAACTAGAATATTATTCGAGATAAATCTAGATGGATAAGCTGACTTACTGCATCATTTCATCACTCTATATATTAATAGTAATGAATCTATATTTGATATGAATTTTTTTATTTTACAAAGTAATGTATCAGTTGATCCATTTGAAAAAAAACAACTGACCCATGGTTTATTAAATTTTTCTGTATTTGAGCCTCTCCCTATAACGAATTTCAATGTATGTGCACGCCATTAGTGTCTAAGATATTCATGATTTTTTATAATAGAGTTTAAAAACAATATATTTATTGATTGCGAAAAAATAGAATTGTGTACATGTCATATCCCCAGGGTTTCTACTAATATTCACGAAGAAAGTACAAAATGAAAAATAAATCAATGACAGACGAGACGAAAACAAAATTTTTCAAGGTGACTATGCAACTAATCGAATCTTTGTATTTCGTACGATCAGTTATTTTAATAATGAAATACACCTGACTTTTTTTGTAGTTTATTTTAGATATATAGAGAAGAAGAAAAAACAAACAATGTTTTTAGTTGTATTCGATTTTGATCATACAATCATCGATGCTAATTCCGATATACATGTTAATAAACTTTTTCCATCGGATGAAGATCGATTAATAGCCGAAGAAAATTGTTCACATTTTCAATGTTGGACTGATCGTATGCAAGAAATATTTCGTCAATTACATAAATATAATATTAAAGAAAATGATTATATTAAAAATATGCGAGAAATACCATTAACAAATGGTTTTTCACATTTAATTGAATATTTATATTCATTACCAAATAGTCATTTAATTATTGTTAGTGATTCAAATCTTGTTTTTATAAATACAATATTAAAACATTATCATCTTCATCATTATTTTAAAGATATATTTACAAATCCAGCTTATTATAATAAAGATGATCAATGTTTAATCATAGAACAATATGGTCAACAAACATGTTCAACATGTCCATCAAATATGTGTAAAAGAGAAATAATTGAAAAATATTTACGTACTAAATTTTCAACATCAATACCTGTTTTATTTATTGGTGATGGACATAATGATGTATGTCCAGCAAATAGTTTAAAAAAAGGTGATCTTGTTTGTGCTCGTAGTGGTTATCGTATGGCAAAAGAATTAAAACAACAAGAAGAATTATATAAAAAAAAACTTGATGCCAATTTTTTTCAATGGAATGATGGAAAACAAATTGAAGATTATATTAAAGATAATTGGTTAAAGAAATTTTAAATATTCATATTTCTTTTCTTTTATTAAACATTATTTTTCTTAATATATCCTACACATACTTTACATCATTCCTTATCAAATTTTATTAGTTAAATCATCAACAGATATGCTAAAATAAATGTTCCTCCAACGATTTTCTCAATATGAGAACATCTTACAAATTTTTCTACAAAATATTAAACAAAATAATACTGGAAGAAAGAGAAAACAATTTTTTCTCATCAGAATAGCAAAATTTTTGTAAGAATATCTACCATGGGCGTGGGTGTGTGGGTGGAATGTGTGAATGAGAAAAGAACTTTCGCATCTACACCCGCACCCACATTCACATCCTTCCTGCGACCTTCTTACTTTTCTAAAAAATTCTTATTCTGCATTAATTTTCTGAGTTCGATAGTGATGAGAAATTTTTCAAGTTTCAATTTTTTGGATATTATGCAATAAAGTATAAAGATTACCTATCGTGAGTGTCAAACAATGATGTGAAAACGGTATTAATTAGAATAGAGAAAGTAAGAATTAACAATAGAATAGTTATTTTGAAAATATACCACAATGACGTCGATTTTATGCTATATGTTTCACATTTTCTTTAGTAAAACAGTCAATTATTTTAACTAAAAAAATCATTTTCAAAAATGTTGTATACAGTATATGCTATTAGCCAGTGACGGGCCACCGGCGTAGCAAACTGTGACGATTGCCACACCAAAAATTTTGGTGCTGGCCCGCCACTGCCCACACCCATCGATCCTCTCATTGAAAATAATCTTAGGTTATCAAATTCTTTTGAAGGTTATCATTGGTCAATGATCAACAGTAATAAAAGTAGTCATCGTGTTGACTAAATGCATGTATGTCATTAGTATTCTAAACAATTTTCTCTGTTTTCAAACGTTACGAGGACAAGAACTACAGAATGAACGATATTTTGAATAGTTTTGAGCAAATAAAATAAAAGCTTATTTGTAAGTTTACTTTTTGAGAATTTCTAAAATAGTTATGTTTTCATTGATGGATGATATGTAATAGAACTAATTAATTTTTTTTTTGTTGGTTAAGAAAAATTATATATATTAATTATTCTAAATGCAAGATAATAAAAATATTTATATTATTCAAAAATAATCTAAATTAGTTA